GTAAAGACATGAAAAACCCGAAGAAACAAAGGCCAAAACATGCCAAAACGATCAATTGCTTTCTGAGGCACCATCAGAAAGGTCTGCCTGCAGCGTGCGAGTAAATCCAGAGCAGGAAAATATCATGAGATAAAATTGGTTCGTCAGCCGATTTCCGGTTTGATTGCTAACAGCTTGTCCATGACCTTCTTTTTCTTCTCTTTTTCTTTCTTTGTAATCCGTTGGCCGACTGAGATTTCAGCACCTATGTGAGCCCGACATTCAAAGATCCCCGCCACTGTTTGCCATGCTTTTCTGCTGACATTGGGGATACACTGCCCGCTCTTCTCATCCAAGATCAACAACACTCTGCTAAAGTTCTGACCTGCTCTGCAGGTCCTTCAAGAGTAGTAGCTAGTTTCCAATTGTTCCAATTGACAATTAGGTGCAAAAAAAAAACGCCGGACGCCTCAAAAAAGTGTCCTACGCATTCGCATTGCTGGGCAAACAGGCATAACACATGCCATACCAAGCCATACGCTCTCCAAGTGCACCCGCTGCTCTCGTCAAGAACAAGTGCAACCGATGCATCTGAGCCACTGCTTGCGTTGGGCAGTGTCTCCTCGACCCTCCATCCGTGCCCGCAGCTCGTTGCAAATCTCCTGGTCAAGTTCCACCGTGGTTACGATGAAACCAAAAAGATCTTCGGAATGCAGCACCTGATGGTCAGGTGAATCAGAAGTCCTGGCGTTGCCTTCCGCTCCAAGAGAACGGAAAAGGAAAAAGACCACTTACATAACATATCCTCACATACCTATGCGACAATGTGGATCTTCTGCCCCAATTCGTTGAAATCTGCATGCGAGTTAGTTGTAGTATGATATAGTATGATGTTATAGTCATAGCTAAATCAAAAAAAGTGAAGCCTTGGCATCTTGATCTCTATGGGTACAGGAAAACATGCACAAAAGATGCACCTTGAAGTCTTTTTCACCACCTACAAAGTCGGAACACAAATGGCTTGGTCGTGGAAACCGCATGTCCGGCACCGAGACATAGTGCCTGAATGCATCTTAGCAGTAACACCTAAGTGAGTCGTGGAAAGGCTCAGCTGTGCCCAGTCCTCTGTGTAGGGTCTATCGATACCGAAGAAAGGCCGTATTCCACCTTCACCTTCCAGTCGTTTCAGTTCGTGACTCAAATACCAAGATGTCTTTGAGATTCAAAGACAAAACTCTAAAGCAATTCAATTCCTGGTACAAACGCCTGCACTGAGATATCTTCTACATGACCTGTTGTTGCTAATTTGTTCCTTATCAATCCTTATCATCTTTATACAAGGTGACTTCTTAGTAGTAGTAGCAGTAGCAGTAGCAGTAGCAGTAGCAGTAGCAGTAGCAGTAGCAGTAGTAGTAGTAGTATATAAGTAGTAGTATATATATAGTAGTATATATAGTATATATATAGTATAGTAATATATATATATTATTCATATATATATATATATATGAATCTCTAGGATTACCATTATCTGTGTTTTCTCAAACTCAGATTCATTCATGTGCCTTTCTCGTTCACCTTCTCCAAGTTCGAACTCATACCCACCTGAGATATTCGATCTGATCGGAACAAGAGTGATCCATTCTTGGAGGTCTCCAAAAGATATATAATTTCATCCTCCAAGGGTTTTGGTGTTTGCATAAGAACAAGCAAGTGGTTACCCGTTACTATGCCAAGATGATGATGTTCTGCATGGTTCTGCTGCTATAAAGTATCTATGTTGCATTCCCTTTCAAGCAATCAACCCGATGCGAAGTTGATCCCCGGAAAATTGGCGAACGAAGAGGTACCCACGGCCAAAGTCATTGTCGTAGGTAAGTTTCACAAATTCCTGATGGGAATGTGTTGGTTTGCCCCAGTTGGTACTTCTCCCTGCTCTAGCCCTCTCCAGAACGCATATTTACATACTCAACATATCTCAGCAGCATGAACCCTTTTATATACTGTACAAGCCTAATGCATCGAGCCACGCAAAGCCCACAGCAAGAGTCATGAAGCTCCACAGAGCCCAGCTGTGCATAGGGCCGTTTCTGTGTGCTGCTACCGCACAAGTTCCTGGTGTCAGCTGCGAAACCTGAAAAGTTCGACTAAGACTACTTGGGAAATAACCAAGTAGCATATTGGAAACTTGGAAACAATAATGTAATATACGTATATCCAACTCAAGAGTTTAAGGAAAGTATCGTGGGGTGGAATGGGTTCCTCCAAACAACGTCAAAAAAAGCTTGCGGTTTGAGCTGGACGGACGTTCCTCCGATCATGCTTCAAGCTTGGTGACGCTGGGAAAGTTGATAGGTCTGCTTGGGGAACCCTTCCGGAAACAGTATCATGTCTGCTATGCAGCATTATTGCATAAAGGAACTATTTTTGTGTACCAAGGATTCACCCCAACCATTTTTCGGAACATCTGCTCCAAAAGGTGCTACTTGAACCACCCCAAACCCCGTCCTCTGCTTGTAAAAGACTTCTTCACTCTGCAGGTGCAGTGTTTTGGTCTGCCATCCGCAGCAAGGGCACCAACAAAGCAAGCACCCACCTGAGTCACTGATCGACGCTGCACTTGCTGCTTCTGTAATCTGAACAAGCATAGATCCTAGAGAGGTTGCAAGCTTGTCTGAAAGATGAGACGGTGTTGACAGTATACTTTACCCAGTGAACCCTGTGCATATGCAAGGAGCTTCCAATATTCCATGCTCGCCTTCAAGCGGAAGGCTCGGTGAAAGTACCCCGCAAGGCTCGGGATGGTCATGTGTTCACTTCAAGCAGGGCATGGCTACTTTCCCAGGGCATGGCTGCGGAAAGAACTTGGACACCTTCAGAAACCGGTGCAAGAGCTTATCATTCCTTTTTCTTGACTACGAGACTACGACCAATTTCTTAGTGTCACTCTCCTGGAACAACAACAACAACAACAACGCTGAAGCGGTTACAGTAAGAGCACAACTCTATGAATATTTGGACAACATGTGATGTTTACATGGCCAAATGCTCCCTCTGGTTGATGGTTGCTTGACAAAGGATTTGTGCTTGACCAGCAGCTTTCGATGTAGTTTGTCACATCATACCTCAGCACAACCAGACTTCCATGATGTAATTACAAGTTCTACTGTTAAGTTTCCCTAAGAATCTAGAAACAAAGTCATTAGGAGCTTCCTTGAAGAAGCGTGAGCTATCCTGCGTCCATACTAGTAGCTACTTAAGCTACTAGCTACCTCTTCTACTAGTTGCTAGCTATCTAGCTACTAGCTCTACGGCCTATCCCCCCCCTCAAAACAAAAGCAGGGCCGATATAATGGTCGGACATTGGATGGCAAGTGTTTGAGGGTGTACTGAGTCCAGAGCCTTCGATGACATGGCCTTTCAAGGAGGTCGTTCGCACAGTTCTCTCGATCCCTTTGAAGACATCCAGGAATCCAGCCTAGTTATGTTTTTACGAAAGCCTGCAGGAATACATGTCGATAAACGGTATTCTCAGCATGACTCCGGGCAGTTGACATACAGTTCAAGCCAATAGTAGAATAATAGTGCGATACACACAGGAATATCTATATCTAGGCGACATATGTCTTTAGAATTCCTTAGTTGTATGTAGACCAACCCAGAACTTCCAATGACTCATTTTACTCCACGTCACAATTACTCACAATCCACCACTACCATAGGGGTAAAATGGAGCATTTGGACTCTCAGGGCAACAGATACCATTCGAAAGAGCGATAGTTCACTATGACAAAAGCCAGAGAAATCACGCACCCCGTTCGTTTTCCGAAAATCCATAGCAACCAGACCTACCGATGCCAGCCGTGTGGCTTTTTCTCCGGAAATCTTTGCATCAAGTTCTCCATGGCGATCTCAAACTGTCCTCACGCCATGGAATGGATGAGCAGGATTCAAGGCAAATGAAAAATCAAAGTGCGTAAAAAGGGATTGGGTTGGGCAAGTTGGTATCAAAATGGGAAAACTTAGTAGTCTATGTGTCTACTTTCTTGCCGCTGGTGTTGGCCTTAGTTAAAGGCGCACCTTGAACCTAAACCGATTTGGCAGAAAGGTCCCCTCAACTTCCAAAGGGGCGCAGGCACCATCGAGACATGACGAGGTCGAGGATGGACATGTATGGACTGACTCCAACAACCTTTAGGAAACTTTAGGCAAGTGCAATTGCACACGCTATCAAACGGAGCTTATGACCGTAGAACTCTGAAATTGACCGTTGTGGAAGTTGCAAAGAAGTGTCGAGGCTCCATCACATGAAGCCTAGCAAGTCTGTGGCCTTGTTCAAGTATGAACCTACTGCGCTGCTGCCTTGCATATAAACATCATTCAGCGAGAGGACGGATGATCCCTGCAGTCAGCAAGGGGATCTATACGGCGAATCACGAGCAAAAGCAAGCAATGACAGGATGCAAAATGCAATGCCATAATTTAATGGAATGTGTATACAGAGGTACATTAGCCTACACAACCTCTGCACAGGCTTCAGAGATACCAATACTTCCAATATCAATTGCCAGAACTTCAGACACCTCCAAAGGTGAAAGGCAGTCCTGCTTTGAACTATGAATGGGCGCACAAACGGGTGACAACACAGACCTTGAGCCTACAAAGCTTGCCGATGCAACGTCAAGTCGAACAAAGGTGCAGGTCCTCCTCATATGAAGAATTTACCCAACAGTCTATTGTGACTCTCACTTTACCAGGCTACAATGCTGCGTCTAAATGGCTGAAGGATATCTTCCCATTGGCAGGAACCTTGAAGCGGCCCAAGGGCAAAGCCATGCTATACATCACTAGCAGCCAAAGCAATTCCTTGACATCCAGCCAGTCGCCCACAAAAACGAGTACACTCTATTCAAGCTGAGTTTCCTACCACCCCTGCAGATATATTTGGATGAGATCTCCTTTTAGCATCACCATCTAGATCAATCGGTCTCGCCAGGCCGGTGTCACTAGGCGCTCCGGACTGAGGTAGACCCGCCCATGTCTAGGGTGGTCTTGGAAATGCCTGCCAACAGATCCACCGTCATAGTCATAGCTTGTGGGGAGGGCCAACTTTCTACATAAGAGGACTATCATAGTCATTGCCATTGATATGTCACACGTCGAAATATCGATTATTGAGATCCGCTTGAGAATGTCACGTTCGCTGCTGTTTCAGAAATCAGGAAAAACAAAAAACAGTTGCTTGAATGGGGGATGTGCTAGAAATACAGCAGTGTGTTCAAAAGAAGGGGGCGCGAAGGCGCGGGGGCCCGCCCAACACGCCTCAAAGGACAATTCATGAGCAGAAAAAATGTCATATAACTCAAATACATGTACTCTTAGGGTTTCATTCATTAAGAACATTATATATAGTATCTTTTTATTGCCCTAGTGTTTGGAGTTGATCTAAGATTGTTTTGTTGCCCATGCTCTGGGGTCCTACGTGTATAGGTCTGTTCTGGGCCAACTCCTTACGCAGCCTTACACAGTCTTCGTCTGTCATTGTCCTAACTCTGTTGGATATTGTTCGCTCTTGCCTAGGCCCACACAACTCCTGGCCCGTCCAAGTTTGAAAATAGATAAGTGAAGTTATGTAAGTCTATATAAGTCTAAATAAATGAACCTATCTCTTCCGTACCAAAATGTCACTTCATCCTATCCCTTCTAGGAATCCTGGAAGTTCCAGTTGCCTCGCAGTCAGCTCCTTGCGATTCAAATAGCCTTCCCCAACCTGACCAGGAAATGCTTGATAGAATACCCCGCGCATTGCAAAATTAGAGCAACTGGATTGAAAAATGCCAGTTGAATGCCAGCTAGCACCAAAAGCATCGTTCAAGCCTAAAGTGATCAAGCAGAAACATGCTTTGTGCTAGGGCAATGTCCAAAAACCCTGTGAAACGTCGCCAAGTCATTGATCAATTAAATGGGTATTCTGAGACTCGGACACGCCAGAGTTGGCATTGGCCGCAAACGAGTTTTTTAACTAAGATTCTTTCAGATGTTGACCAGCATATCTTCAATACGTGAGCTTTGATCGTGGTCCAGGCAAACGCCATCTCCACCGCATCCCACGCCCACTGCTCCTGGGCACCGCCAATGATCAGCTCACCCTCCAGGCCCTAGCGACGTGTGCGAAGAAACGGCCAAGCAATGCGGAGCAAAGGTCAAGTGAAAGCACGACATGTTTGGATTGAGTTGCAAATTGTTCTCTAGAAGCACGGTGACACCTGAGCCAGCACGAGAGCGCCGGCCAACAACTACGGTGCAGGGAGACACTTTTTTGATCCAGCACGGGTCAAATTTCTTGAGTCCTGAATAGCGCCTAGTCCACCATCACACTTCGCCATGAGGTATTTCACACGTCTGTTTGCCAAAACGTGATGATTCTTAAAACCTGCTGCTTTTGTCCAACAGCGTGTTGCGGCAATTTGTGCAAACTACCCCTGTTGAGAGCCAGATAGCATTGGAAGATGGTTGCTTCATTTTCCTAGCTTAGCACCCAGGTTCAGGTCTCCATGCCAGTTGAGGCCCCCAAGCCGGCAGAGGCGGGAATTCGAGTTATGGAGTATTATTAGTATTATGGAGTATCATGGAGACTTGCGGGAGTGATATCGCAACGCTGTTGAGTTGGTGGAGCACTGCGCGGGCCGGCTCATCCCTACACGCTCCTGCCTGTCTGTGTTTGTTGACATATTTCTGAGGATGGCGCAATCGAGCTCGACGCGGAGCCGAAGCCGAAGCCGAAGCCGGTGAGGTCTGATAGTGTGGCGGAGGCCCGATTGAGGGAAGTCGTTTCTGTGGAGAGTTAGGGCATTTTGAGGGATTTCATTAAGTGTTGCATGGCTTTTTAGCTGAGAGGTTTTGTGTTGAATTGATAAACCGCCGGAATGATTGCACATCAGCTGGAAAAGTTAAAAGGGGCTCATACTATCTCATACTATCAAAGAACATTGTAACATTGTAATCTGTTGCACATTCGTTCAGGGCGCAATGCGATATTCAGGGACCCCATTTGCAAGCGAAGCTGGCTGCAGGTCAACAACACCTTTTTCTTTTGTTCACGTCCGGTTGTAGCACGCCTGTTGCCTTCCACACGCGGCACCAGCATTGCCACCACCCTGTGGCAGAAGAGGCCAGGGCTGCCGCTTCGAAGGCGGGCCTGCCACCACCTGCACCACCTACACACCGCCGTGGCCAGGCCTATCTGGTTCAAGTCTGTGCAGGTGAGATATAGTCTGAGACGCATGGAGCTGCGTGGAGGAATCTTTGTCAGCACTATTCCACACAAACTCGATTTTGCAGACACTCTCAGTTACACGGCTAATCTGGAAGGCGTTCTGCACGAAGGTCTTTGGTTCTTTCTCGGGCGGTGGATCCATACAGATGCCCCAACGGCAGGGTGAAGCTTTCTGACACACTGTACTGAATCTTAGGCAGATATCTACCGCTGTGGAGCAGCAGGATGGACCCTCTGTGTTTGCATCACGCACCGAGGGTCCTTGGAACTTGTGCTCCATACAACTTTGTGATGTAAGTGATGCAGCAACACATCAGACTGCATCTTCTGCATCATTAACTACATTCAAAGAATTAGCATTTGCCAAAAACAATTAACCCCACCAAGCTATGATGAAAGTTGCCCATTTTGTCCTCCACTTCCCAGAAAGAACTGCAGCCTAGCCTGTCGGCTGGCTTTCGTAACATTCTCTGACTCAATCATTCGTAACATTCTCTGACTCAATCACAGCGGCATTCAGCTAAAGCTGCATGCAGCTGGAAACACGGCATTCCCATGTATGAACGTGAAGAAGGTGGTGATGCTGCGTCACTATTATTGCCTCTTTCGCTAATCCGCCACTGGTTGACCATTTCCCCCCCCTCTCGCCTCCACGCAATGCGAGAGGTCATGCTGTAGGCTGGCCGATTCAAATGTTTGGAGCACCGAAACATGGGAAATTAACGCGTCCAGTCTAGACTCTCCCCTTCAGACACCACACTGCCAATGAGAAAACAACCTTGATCATTTCTGGCGAACAAGTATCAGCCTGTGTACAATCCGCGGCCACACCCACTCACTATGCTGAGTCAATCCCCCAGCTGTTTCAGCGCCTGCCAGCATCCTGGTCCTAGGGTTTGGTTCAATGACGCAGCGCAATGTCTGCAAGGGCTACACGTGCGCAGTTCAAAAAAGTGATCGTAAGCAGTTTAAAACTAAACAATGATCGTAATGCACGGTGAACATACTGGAACTTCTTTGTGGTATATAACACGTGGAACAAAGGCAAGTAATTTGTGTCCCGCACTTGTTGCATCTAGATCAAATTACACCTTTTGCTCTTGGAACGAATCTTCTGTGGTGCAGCCTTCCAGGAAACTTTCGAGCTACAGGGAAACAACGCCAAGCTTGGATGGCAAGAATAAGGAGCAAGAGAGAGAGATGTTTGGATTGCAATTGCTGTCGGATTGGAACGCAGTGGTCAATCATTCCCTACACATCTCCAAGCTGCTTTTTGCGACACAAATGCTGCAGGCTGCTACTCCCAGAACTGTCCCACAAGCATTACATGGGATGGTGCAAGAAATCCATGCACAGGCAGGTGATATTATGTGATCACGCTTTCATTTTGCTTGTTTGTGTTTCCCAACCGCAGCCATAAAGTATACACATTTGGGGCATGAGTGCAGAGTACAAGAATTGGTTGTTCGCAACTATGAAAATATCTGGTCACCCCTCGACTCGACCACACAAAATGGCTGCAGCATATGGACCAAAACCTTGTAGTAAGGCCAGGAGCCCCTAAGAGCTTCTTGTTCCTGGTAGCGATGCCAGAAGCTCCTAGTAGCTGCTTGTTGCTTTGTAGCAAGGCAAGGAGTCCCTAGTAGCTTCTTGTTCTTGTTCTTAGTAGTAAGGCCAGGAGTCCCTAGTAGCTTCTTGTTCCTAGTAGTAAGGCCAGGAGCCCCTAGTAGCTTTTTGTTCTGAATGTGCAGGTATAATCATTGTTATCGTGTTTTTTGCTCTTATTCGTTTTCGTAGGAATGCACATGCCAATACTAAACCGCTGAGCGCGGGGTTATTTCAACAGCCCATTTGGTGTTTGTCCTTGCTTAGTGAGTACAGCATGGGACAGTACTGAATTTGTTGAGTCACCCGGTACAGTGCTTAGCGGTTAGCATGCATGGGCCTGATTCAGGTTTTGACAAAGGATGCAATCCCTCAAAGAATTTACATGGTTCTGGTTACAGTATATGGATTTTGTTGCTATGGTCCACATACTTCTGACATTGTGTTCCAACTTTTGCTGTGGTGCCAAGGTGAAGCTCCACCTTTCTTGCGGCGCGTGTCAGCGTAGAATCCGGCCCGCCGGTGACTGAGTGTCTTCACTGGCGGCTCGGGGCATTGGCTGCGCCTTGGTGCATGTTGTTCCTTTTGAAAGGCCCCCCAGCCACAGGCGGAACATGCCGTATAGCTGCTGCTGGAAATATCGCCCATGCTTTTGAGGGGTTTTGGCAGCTGCTTCTCTCGCTAAGGTGACACAACCTGATCTCAGGTTCGAAGCAGTCACAGTTGAGTTTTGATCCCTGCGGGTCCTGCGGAAGAAGGAGCAGTTGGTTTCCAGGCAAGGGCAAGCCAACCAAGCTGGGCCTTGGCCAGGCAAGCGCTTTGGTGCGCTTGGCAAACGAGTTTTGTGAACTCCAACAGCAGCCAGCCTTGGAGGGTCTCCGGTCCCCGTCAGGAAGCCTTTATCAGTCCTCCGGGCCCCCTGCAGGTCCTCGGAGTGCATCAAACGAAAAGCGTTGTAGACGCAGCACTCGGTCACACCATACCTCAAAGCCAGAGGAAGTTGGGCTTTTTAGTAGAAAGTAGAAACAGTAGCTTGAACAGTTTCCATGGTCCCAAGTGTCGTCAAGCCCAAACTGCCATCAACATTGAAGCTGTGTCAAGCTTGGTCTTTCAAGAATGGTCAGATCGTGTTGTGGCCACCTAGAGCTGAATGGATGCTGGGGTGCTGCATGCTGAACTCATCTGAGCATCTCCAGAGCGAGTATGAGCCGTGAGGATTGCATGTGTATTTGGTGCAGGCATATGCACAATATTCAACCTTCGCACCTTTCACCTGACCAAATAAGTTAGTAAGTTTTGGAAGCAGATTGATGAATGAAGGACTCCAAAACTGCCCAAGAAGCGGTCTACAGCGTTCTTCCGGTCCACTGAGATTGCATCAAAGATCATTCTTGTGTCTATGGAACCACCAAGGCTGAGGTTCCACGCGTGTTGACCAGTGTCAAGGCTTCATGTCCTGCCCAGGCCTGGAAGGCATGACCCAATGGAAGCAAATCGCCACAGGTCTGAAAAAGGGAATATGATTTAATGTCGAAGCCCCTGTATCCTTCCAAATATATGAAGATTTGAGACCCTCTGCAATGGTCCCATGGACTAGCGGACTAGTGTCTACAGTCTACAGCAGCCTGAGACTCGTTTAGAATCTGGTGGTCCAAATTTGTTGCTACAAAATTGCTCTACGCAGCCAAGTTGCCTTCAAGTAAGGATTGCAACCAAGAATTCCAGCGTAAGATCACAAAGTGGCTTGAGCATAACCATTTCGGCATACCCTTCGTGAAATTTAGCAGTTTCCCAACCAGCGCTGTTGCTGTACTTCAAAAGGTCAAAAATAATATTATGTATTTTTAAAAATGTAAAATTTAGGTAATAAGAAACGATTCCGTGACCACAATGGTCTATGGTCCCACTCAGCCTTGACATACATTTGCTAGAACAAGCTGGTTCTGCACATTTAGAAGGATTAGAAGACTGACACAGGAACCTTTTTCTTTTCAACCACAGGGTGCCTGATTCTCCCTGGTTCAACCGATCTCCCAAACGGCTAGTGAAGATGTGAACCACACATTGATGACCCTGCTCCTGGAATATATTTACCTGAGGCTTGATTATTATGCCAAGGGTCATGAGTCATGTCTCTAGCGAGTTTGCCTCGAAAATAAGAACACCCCCAGAAGACCCATGGCAGTCCTGAAACGGGAGAAACAACCAGCATGTGGTTCCCCTCGCTACAAACCTATTTTGGGGAGACTCGCCACTCGCCACCCTCGACATCGCCTCGAGTCCCGCCTCCAGAATCATCCTGGGCATTGGCTCGCCACCCAAGGCCACAGAGCGCAAGGAGGGAAGCGCTTCTGCCTGAGTTCACCAACGGAACTACGAATCCCGGAATGCATTTCGCTTCGAGTGAAAGGAAGCGTTAGGCATTGCTGATTTGCCTCTCAAAATCAACTATCATAGGCATAAAAAGGACGATGAACTGAACACCTGCCCCGCTGGGTTTTCCGCAGTCTGGGTCTCCGCTACTATGATCTACTATGCTTCTCTTGGCTGTGGCGGCCCCACGTAGACGATGTTTTAGCGGTTTTACGATGCAAGTTTCAGGTGAGAATGGTTTGTGGAAGGACAAGAAAACAGCGTGCTCTGCTCGCAAAGGATTTAGCACTTGACCTTCGGCCCACTGGTCCTGTGTCTGACATTGGAGCAAACTCACCTCACTAGGCCCAAAAAGGTAGGAAATAAGTTGCTTCTTATTAACACACTGCAGTTAAACGAAAAACACAACACAGGATAGTGTACATGCAAGAGAAAACAAAAGAAAACATTTAAGACGACCCAACAACAAAGCTCAGCCAACTGAGCCACCAGCATTTCCAGGTGCATAGCCTCAGATCTTGGAGGACTCTCAGAAAAACAACAAGAAGAAGACAAGAAGACTTTAAGGTACCCAATAGCAATGGCCTCCAACCTACTAGCGATGGTCTCCAACCTAAAAGAAGAAGAAGAAGAATATCAAGAAGACAAGAACATTCAGGAGGGCAACACAGTTTGGCCGAAAATGCAGGCTTTTGAGGAACCTCTCTTCAAGAACACACAAAGGGGGAACGCCTGAAGGGTGCTGAAGGGAGGAATTCTGTGGTGAACAATCGTATTATGCATGGGTATCAAATGGTATCAGAGCCGATAGGACTTATCAATGACCATGGTCGCATCAGGATCTTGCATTCTGGGGTTTAGACGAGGTCTCTTGTTCGCACCGAGAAGCCTTTGCCCAGTGTGGCAAAGAGGGAAGGTGTGCAAAGGAGATGTGTCGCCTGGCTTCCACAGGCCACTGACGGGTTCGTCATCAGGTGCCATTTAAGCTTTCGTCTTGTTACCCAAGCTGAATGGTTGCTGGATGTTGCTGGAGACCTCTGTTTGACCTCATCGTTTATGCGTTAAAGTAGCGTGCCAGGTGCCATTTTAATTTTGGAGGTCAACAATATGGAAGCTGGGAGCTCAAATCTGTTGACATCTGCTCTTTTCAAAATTCCTTAGTAGGCGATATACAGGTAAACTTGATAAACTACTAGCAGCGGGACGCTACACGAGTCCAAGAGCTGGAAATACTTACGTTTGGCATTTGGAGCTCAGCGGATGATCTATTCAAGTAGTGGCACGTAGGGGTCAGCAGGTTTTCCACTACAAATCAGACGACATGTTCCTCCATATTGCAGCCCCACTTCAAACTCACTTCCGAGGTTTTCGAGACCTACCTCTGGGCTGAAGTGGGAATCTGCAAGCGAAACATGCAGAAACACCAGTCTGTTGACAATTCATCGGGCCCCATATCTCAATCCATCGGTCGGCAGCTCGGGAGCGTGGCCTCGGATTGTTGCAGCAAGAGGCCCAAGTGCTGGAAGAGGTCACGACCTTCAGGTCGAGGGCTGAGAAAATGCTCGAAAACTCTTGTGGGACTGATTTGGACTGAGTCTGGTGTTTGGGTATGCTGCCTCCATCCTCTTTGAAAGTTATATAATTAATAATATTAATATAATTAATATATATATATATTATCATTGTATCAAGGAAAAACATGTCATCAGGTATCACTTTGCACTCTGAGTTTCGTTGACTCTTGAGGGCAAGTTAGACTCTTGAGGGGAATGGCCTGCGGCCGACTTTTTGCTTGAGCTGCATCGGTGGCAAGACCACAATGCCAGCCCTTCAAGATGGGAACTTTACAAATTTGGCTAACGGTTTGCAAACGGCAAACGGTCGGTACCTGGTTGCACCAAGGCAGCCACACTGGAAGTTCTCACACTTCACCAGGTCCGACCACGCCATTCCGAGTCATATACAGTAAGAAAATATTCTTTGGAATATCTCGTGCCCTGTACATGCACGCTTGCCCAGCTTCTGTTCAAATCATAACTCGGGCAACTTCAATAACCTCAAGCAGGGCATAACCTGTACAACATGCCTGTGCTTGCGGTTTTGGTGAAATCAATGCCCCACAACCCGAAATGCTTCGAAACAAATCCGAAGTGTTTTATCAGAGCACTGTGCAAGAATGCAGGTGTCGATTCAATTTTCTGAGGATGTGCTCAATATCCAGGCAATTGAACAGCGTTCATGCAAGCAAATCGAGTTGGGTTAATGCCTGTGGGTGCTGGAATCAAACCTATCGTGAACTTCTAGGCGGTGACAGAGATTATTCGCAAAGCTAAGCTGCACTGCTTAGCCCAAACCGTTCAGTGCCACTTCAGGTGGAGCCGGAAGATTCATGGCCTCGTCCAAGGCCTCCAAGAAATTCCGATGTCGACAAACCAGATCGAACCGGGTCCAAGAAATACACAAGCGAAAGAGTGTGCTCCACTGACCGAGGATATGTTGATGTACCTTGGATCATCTTGGATCCATAATGTGCATCTGCCTCATGTCAATCGGTTTGTTGGCCAAGAACATGAACTAGCATTACCTTGCGACTGGTTTTCAATCTAAAGCCGACTTGGAATAACCATTGAAATATATTGAAACAATCTGCTCTCGAATATTGTTGAAGAAACCAACCCACCGCCGTCAAATACCAGCCTTCAGATACCGTGCCGGCATGTGAGCAGTGGCCATGTCGGATGAGATCAACATCTCATCAACACCAGCATGGGATCCTGCAAACACCGGCGTTCCGCTTTCGAACGCGAGGGAAGGTCTGGAAGTTGGGATCCATCCAGGAAAATGCGAGTGGAAGGAGTGGCAAAATAACTGGGGGTGTATATTAGCTAGCCAAGTGATCCTAAAGCCGAGGACTCGTTTCAGAGAAGCATGCTCGTGTCACGGAGTCTTCCACTCAAAGCCAATGCCTTTCAGGATTGCCGGGCGGTGTTGAGGCCATACCAAGCACCCTAATGAACCCTAAAAGCATCTGCAAAACATGTCAATGAATCCTTCAGATAGACTTTCAGCTCAAGGAATCTTGGATCTGACTCCCTAAACTAAGCTTGGGTTGTATAGAAGGGATGGTGAATCGTCGGCGCATAATGCATATACATATATATATATAACTATATAACAACAATCTTTGGACAACGCGAAAACAAGGCCTTCCACTACAAGAACATCCTCTCTTAAAAAGAATAAACAAGTACTGTATATAGATCCGGTGCAACACAAGCAGTCCCATGCCGGCTAAAGAAATCCAATCTTTGGATCCAACATACTGGCAAGGTAGCTGGATCTGCACCCCAGTCCTTCCAGGGCCACATAATGACTCTCTGCAGAGGGAATCTGCGCCTTCGAGGCATCTAATGGGGAAATGCAAAGGACCTGTTCCCCAAATACTCCAACGGGATCAACAGGATTGGGGGGTGTGGTATCAACTGGCCTCAGCAGTGCCAATCAATTACTGGCCTCCCACTTGGGCGCTAGCCTCAAGGGAGTCTGTCTGTTCCCGTCCTAGTGCACAAACACAAAAAAGTATTTATCTAAAACCGGCCCAGCATCCAACATGTGCAAAAATGCTGTGACCACCTTCGACATCGAAATCCGCCTTCCTCAAAAACATCAGCCGCCCTGCTGGAAAAAGCCTTGGACGCAATGCGGGGTTCCGGGCGTCGGCTCCAAGGGCGTCACACCGAACACGAGCTCTGGTTTTCAAAACGAAACTCGCATGAATGATCAATGATGCATGCAAAGCATAATGTATTTTACTGATATATACTGCATATCACCAAGGTCTTTCAACAGAGCATCCACTGGATCTTGAATACCCAAAAATGGCCAAACCTTCTTTGCGCCTGCACGGCGGTTCGCAATCGGCGATGGGGGAGCGGTTCGCCACCGGGGTGATTCTATATACAGGGAGGTCCCCACAGTGAAAGCAAAAATTGCTGAAAAAGCAACCACCAGGAGCCCCTAGTAGCTTCTTGTTCCTAGTAGTAAGGAGGAGCCCCTAGTAACTAGTAGCGTCCTTGTTCCTAGCAAAAATTGCTAAAACTCCTGTATGGAGATGCTGCAACCACCATACAGGTTGAGGGTGCTCAATCCCCTCCATCTCTGCCAACACCAAGACACCGGTTCTCCGTGCCTTTGGCACCGGCCATGATCTGCGTGTGTGCCTCGTTGTGATTTTTCGGTGACGGTCAATGGACGGTCAGGATATGGCCTCCAAACCAAATGCGGGACCTCTTAAGCGGTAGCGGTACCCTAGGCCCTAGGAATCGCCAAATGCCATTCCTTCTTCAATACGCAGGACATGCCTGTGCTCACTTGCTAAGTCAGTATTGCGTCGGTTCTGCATCCAAAGCAGCCACCCAGATCATGCCGGATGATCCGCCACGAGGGCTTAGCAACCAAGGCCAAGGAAAGTGTTTGTACCTGCCTAGGACATTCCTATTTTAGGACCGAGCTGCGATCTATGACTCTCACGGCCCAAAAAATGTCTTTCGAAACATGGCGACCCTTGCCAAGATGGCTTTGGCACTTCCATGCACTTCCTAGGCCTCCGGCTGCTGCCAGTCTCGCCATATCATCTTCTCCACCTGGAGATTGGAAGAAATGAGAGTCTCAAACCTGATGCTTTGATTTGATGTGGGGAGGGGTCATGGCTGGAAGCTACAAGTAGGTGGCGAATTCTCTTGAATGCTCTTCAGCCTTTTGAAATTGCGCTGCATCCAACATACTCGGCTGGTGACGTGCCAACTGGACGAACAGAGTGACTCAGAGGGCATGTTCTCCACACCAATGAATTCAAGCAAGAAATTGAGAAAATTATACATTGGCACAAATAAGGTGTTTCACTAGAGGAATCTAGAACAAACATAGTGTATAGAAGATTATAGAAGTATGAAACCTTTCAATTCGGCTTGCCAGAAAGGTTACAGTTACAGGGAGAAGATCTGTGCTTCGCAGTTCCCTTCCGACCTCGAGTGGCCATGGCTTGAACCGAGGCCGTCTGCAGTGTCACTGGCAGCTCGAAGGCCTGGTTGGTTTCTCGATGGTTTCCCTACACAAAATGGATTGATTGTTTTGTTTCTTGGTCTTTTAAGATTTGGAAGGACCCTAGTGAAGGCGGTCATTCATGGTCATTGCATGTCATTGTCCTTTTCACGACTCAGAACCATCCACGGCAAACAGTCTCTTCTCCGAGAAGACCACACAGAATTTGTGCGTTTTTAATCCTGAAAGTTCAAGTTAACAGCCAAAGACGGGTTTCCATCATTTCGATAAAGTGTTCGATGTTCTAATTATTCCATTCTCATTGGTCATATGAGTACTGGGAAGGGTCTTCGTAAGCCCTTACTTAGCAGTGTTTATTAACCATAATCAAGTAAGTCATTCTGCACTCTAAACATCCGTGGATTCCGACCGACCATCTTGACCACCCTACTGACGTGCCGATCCACTCGATCGAACATGTTTTGGCGCGATCCGATTGAGTGGCTCCTCTCAAACAAGACCATTGAGGTGAGCACAGCGACCATAAACACAACCTGTTCTCTGCTGGGCGATGTCCTGTTTTGGCCATGAGGCACTTCTCAGAGTTCATTCCAGACAGTCCTTCCTGCTCTTGGGTGGTGGCGTCCTTGCTCCTATTAGTAATGCCATTGTTACTAGTAGCGATGCCCTTGTTACTAGTAGCTTCCTGCTATGTTCGTAAGCGAGGCCGGGAGCTAGTTTTTGAGAGTAAGATGCACCCCGGCCCATCTACTGTCTGTGGTTGCTCTGCAAAGCCATATGATTGGCTGTGGGAAGCAACATCCTGACTTTTTTTCGCGGGTAAACATGTAGCCTATGTCGGCACAAGCAGGGTTGCATTTGGCACACCACTGGGACCCAACCAAGCCCCAACATCTCCAGCGCCTGTGGATTGTTCAACCTCAAGCAAGCTTCTCGAAGATCTTGGACCTGGCAGCAGCATTCAGCAGCATCCCGAAGAGATCTTCCTTTGAACCTCTGCTGCTCCATTGTCCACATGCTGCAAGAATCATTGATGTTGAGAAGTATCCCTCCATAGTCGCGAAAGCAGGTACAGGTGTGATCGAACAATGTTGATCCAAAAGTAGGGGTCAGCCAGTCAGGAGCACCTATATTATATACATCTCCCACTGGCACAAACATTCTCTATCTTTCTTTAGGCATCTTGGTGCTCGTACTTTGGATCAACTGGGTTGTTCCAAACAATTCTTGGAGACTGTAGAAGGATCCTGCAATGGTCTTGGCTAGGCCCTTCGACAATGGACGTACTTGGCCAATGTTTAAGTGTGATCTCTTGCCATTGGAGCTCTTAAGTTCATCACAGAACCTGGCAACTGGGTCAACAGCCTGGTACACATGCAGAGCCATTCTTGGCAGTGTGGACATGATCTTGGTACCACTGCAAGAGGATTATTGAACTCTGAAAAACATCTCAAATAAAGGACACTCCTCGAGAA